AATATACTCACAGATAAGAAACCTTTCTAACGGTGAAAGCATATTTAAAATCGAAACTAACATTAACAAGAAAATTCTTATTATACAAAGAAGCAATACTACCTGTGGTGTACGAAATAAAACACAGGAATAGTTCGAAATGTATAATCCGACTAACTTAAGTATGTACAATAATTGGTATAACCCGACAACTAATATACAGGTACTTACAACACAATACCACTTACTACATAATCTTATAGTGTAGTTTCCAAAAACATAAAAAAAATAAAAAAAGAAACAAGTGAATTTAGAAAATTGATTCCCGTTTTTTGTGATAACATTTTTCTCAGCCCCTTTAGTCCAGTTGAAGCTACGAATGAGTTATCGATCGGTAAATTTCAAAATACAATTCTTTTGAAAATGCATTTAACATGTCACATATGGTAATGCGTACCGCCATGGGGGCGTATTGTCCGCCGCGGCTTTTACACCATATGGTCCCAGATTCATAAACAAGTGCACACCGAATCACTCTAATATTTCCGATTATTACTATGCCTTAACTATAAATACTATAGTAATATGAACTCTAACCCCATCGACATAAAAGCTACTCCTTAATCAAACCACTATTTAGTGTAATAATCATTTACATACGAATATAGACTTTAATCAACTAGAAACAAAGCTCAAAGTTAAATTCATCGCGTTTATTACAAAAATACACTACCAGCAAGTTTTAAATGCATTGAAACTACAATTGAATTGGCAAATGAAACTTACAATCAGTGAAATATAAACCCTAACACATTGTAATACAGTTCATTTTGGATTGAAGTTCGTTAAAATGCAATTCAAACGATTAACAGGGTGGTTGATCTAAGAGTGAACTATTGTGAAGGATGATTACATTGGAAGCTGGTATTACTGGCATTGTACTGTACCATATGTTGATGTTGGTATTACCCTCGTATTGCCGGATTTAGCTAAATATATTTTAATTGTTTGTTCGTCTGTACAGGTGTCACTGCAATTGAGATTGATGAATTTTTATTATTATAATACGCTAAACATAACAAACAGCTTCACGGAATGCAGAGAGTCAAAAAATGTATAGAGGAAGCATACTTGACACTTCAGTTGAGACATTTTTCACATGATCCTCACTAACGCTATTGATAGGTCTCTCAAAACCACATATCAATATAGTTATTTGTATTAAAATTAATTGTCAATAGATGTCATTTAAATCATCACCAGCTCACTATATGTCCCCACCGAGGGACTCGGAGTCTACCCTAAGTGAGGGTGACTAGGCCATAGTCAACCACGCTGGCCCAGTGCGGGTTGGTTGACTTCACACATATCTCTGAATATGTACAGGTTTCCTAACGATGTTTTCCTTCACCGTAAGAACGTCGGGTAACTTATGTACATATGAAATTTCGATAAATCGAAAAACACACAAACACACAAACACAAGTACATGGCGAACCCAATACCTGTAGATTACAAGTCAAGTGCTTAAACCACTGAGCCACCGACGCTCAAAATTTAAATGCTTATGTTTTATTTCGTGAGACTATTTAGTTTATTTTATAACAAAAGCTGGATCTCATAGTTTTGTAAAATGTTTTACAATGTCAACACGAGCACATGAAGAGGCTTACTAAACTTCACAACTAACAGAGTACCTTTCGAAGAAGCTATTGATGAAAATTGTTGTTCACTGTGCCTAGTCTATATATTTCTTAAAGCTTTAGGTTTAGTAATCTTCTAGTTACTTCAATTTAATTAACAACAAATATAATTCAATCAAAGTGTCATTCAGGTGGGAACAGTTATCAGCCGATTGTAATCAAGACGCTAGTCTACCGGGACTCAGAGACAAAGATTAGGTCCGTAGGTCCGTAACAGTTAATCTGTCTCGCATCGTCCCCTGAGGCTCTGCCAATCCAACTTACAGCTGCGGCCTGATCGATCATCTGACAGTTTCTACGTTTATTTCATTATTTGTTTACTTCATCTGTGATTTTGTTTTCTAACTCGTTGACAACGTGGCGAGAAAATAGATCAATCGGCTTTCAAAAGACAAAAGATAACAAAAGACAATCGATGATAGTAAATGACGATCGCTAGGCTCGAAAAAACAATTCTTTTTATCGTCTCTAAGAACGAGCGCACACTTTTGACTAAGCAATCAAACAACCGTTGTGCGATTTTCGATTGTTTTTCAGCCAATTCAATTGTTTAGTTGCACAATTTAAAACCGAGTAGTGTGCGCACCTCCATAAAAGTTTATAGGAATCAAAGCGACATTCGAGAATGTATTCGGGTGTACGTACGCTTTTATAGCTAGTATATTTGTAGCTAGTATATATTTCATACCATTTATAATATCAAAACACTTACGTTACAGTTTGTGTAGTCTACGTGAATTAACAGTTTATCTAAAAGCCACAATAAATAGAACTTAAGGCGATGTTGTCCATGATAAGTAATTGGGGACGCGTGGACTGGATTATTTAGCACGTGACTCGAATGCAGGGGCAAGGGAGGTGATAACAACCCCGAGAATATCTTTCAATAAACACATCTCCCTTGAATGGCTTCAGATTGTTTGTGGTTTCTTTTCACATATGGTTAAACACTTTTTAAATAATACGTTACGGGATTTCTACATTACATTGAAGCAGAAGAGACAGAATTAATAACCAGTGTATTAAATTTATAACGCTTTTACTCAAAACTAGCTATTGCTCGCGACTTCGCACGCGTGATATTAAATAGATAATACAAAATATAGCCTATGTTACTCGCAGATAAATGACATTCCTAATGGTGAAAGAATTTTTAAAATCGGACCAGTAGTTTTTGCGTGAATCAAATACATACAAAAATACAAAAATACAAATCTTTCCTCTTCATAATAATAGTATAAATATAGTTATCTAGACTTTGTATGGGTTAACAACCGCAACTCACTTCAACGTGTTTAATTGGATAATACTGAAATTTTCTCTAAACAATCCACAAGTTACACAGGAACATGTCATCTAGTCAATAAATCAGTAAATTTATTTCGTATTCAATTATAAAAAGGAATAGAACTGTTTAGAACTTAGACGTATAAAGACAGCGAACAGTCAATCTATCAGCCTGCAGTGTCCATTGCCGCGGAACTCCTCCGGGGCCCGAAATCAAACGTCACTCTCGACGTGACTATATTGATGACCAGAGCACTGCCAGTCTTCTAAAACTGTTTACTACACTTACGTTATTTGTGTTGTTTTTATTGACGTTATAATCTTACTACGATTTTATAAATGCGAAAGTTTAGATGGATGGATGTTTGTAAGAGTTTGTAACCTAAACTGCTGAACGGATCTTGATGAAATTTGGCATAGATGTAGAGGCTAGTTTGGAATAACACATTTTTTAAAAATTCCACGCAGACGGAGTTGCGGGCGAAAGCTAGTACTTCTATAAGTTACGTCGTCACGATAAAGGCAATTAAATTGAAGTTAGAAAGGCATTTATTCATTATCAGAGCACTGTTTGAATTACATTTCATAAAAGCAAAGATTTAAGCTGGCTCGTAAATGAAAACTTCATTAAGGACATCAAATATGGCGCAACCAAAAACTCATTAACGCCTTGCGTAAAAATAAATGTAGCAGATTTTCTCGGAGCGCCAGCGAATGGACAAAAAAATGGCTAAAACCTGACAAATAGCTTTCCTTTAACGTCTGCGCCCATCTTATTATCGTTACCCACTACCGAACAGAACTCATTTGGTTCTTTCTTTTACTTCTACATGACTTCCCAAACAATCGAATGCTTACTCTATGTCTTTGATGATAAGTTTACTTTTACCTTGATAGCATTAATTGTATTAGCTTTAAGTTTTGGTAAAAAAAGATGTGTTTTGTTGCCTTCGTCGTAAGGTTCATTTTAAATTGTTTCATCGTCTAGTAGGATATCAATTTGAGAAGAAGCGTCTGTGTTAATAGCATTATTCGCAATCTCATCCATACACTCGGGGGTTGCGCCGTCTATGGACGAAGTATCATTTTTTTTATGCGACATATAAAACATATTTATTGCGATCTTAACGGTTGGAGTTTTTCTAGTGCCTTGTTTGGTGAAGATAAAGATAGAAGAAAGATTAAACTTGCTTGCAACAATCGGATATTTCACGATTAAGGCAATTTCAGACAAACTTTTGCCTTAGGTTGCTGAGAAATCGTAAACATTGACAATTTGTATTAGATTAACTTCGAGGGTTTAATGGTTTTGTTTTGATTACAACGAACATATTTATTAAAAAAAAGAAACAGTTAATTGAATGTTAGACAACTGTTTTTTACATTTAGTTACTGTAAAACATAATACTGATGTCCAGCAGTAGGCGAACAAAAGTTGATGATGATCCTTGTGTCCTTAATACGTAAAATTTTACATGAATAGTCTACATTTTTTACTTTAATTCCATGTTAGAAACTAACTTCCTGAACATTTAACATAATATTTTAAAAACAAAATCTATTCGGGAAAGATTAATAGTAGATACCGACAGCAAATGTACTAAACATTATTAAAAAATCATCTTGTTTTTCTCCGACGCTACAGATTACGACGATATAAGCCGGCACCCGTTACTCACATCATACTGTCTTTGTCGATCTGACCCTACTACTCAATGCGCTCTCAATTCGCGCCAGTTATCTTGACCCGCTGATTGAGCTTCACTCGCTGTCGCTCAGACTGCGGCCATTGGTCTGTACAATCCTTTCCCGCCCCCCTGCTCGCACTCCATTGGTCCGATACCACGCCTACGCGACTTAAAAGGCCGCGCTAAGGGTAGTTCTTAACCCCACTTATATATTTTTCACCCTTATGTTACGCTCGCATTCGTAAAGTTACCGACGGCTAGTACGCACGCGTGTCTCCATCTACCAACTCCGATACAAGTGTCAAAAGTTTGAGTTCGTGTAAGTTTTTTAAATGAACAAACAATGACAATGGACGTTCAAAATAATTACCAAAATTATAAAGAATCGTCTCCCGACACCAAGGAGACGAATTTCAATGTCGAAAGTGCGCGATCGACGCAAATATCGAAGAGTGAAATGCAAACGACTGTACTCAACCAGAGCAAAACTTCGAAACGATCTTTTGATGTCGCTTTCCTAATGATGCCGGACGACAAAGCAAGACAGAAGCAGCCGGAACGACAACTGAGAGTTTCCAAGCAGTTGTTCAGCACGGAGGAGTGGGAACAGCCGACCAAGAGAGCACCGGAAGTATACAAACATCACGAACTGCCTATCGACGTGTTGGACGATAAGGACCAAGACGAAGAACGGGTACGAATCAATAATAATATTTCCCCTGGATTTGGTTCCGATATTAACATAGACGTGGGTACAGATGAATATCCAAGTAAATCCACGTACTTTAGTGATTCCGATACATCTGAACGATCTCGAAGTCGCCCAAACTCCAACGAAAGTGCGGCCAGGCAGCCTAAATTTTTACCCGAATATAAAAGTAAAATTTTTGATGATCCCACGTTGATAAGCATGCAGACGAGAGCCAGATACGAGAATAGATTTGGCGAAAAATCTCAAGACATGTCGCCGAAAAGCGCCTTCACTAAAGTGTCAAACTTCACAGTCAGATCACCGAATCCTTCAGTAAGTCCCGACAACCTTCACTATCAGAACTCTATAAGCCCTCCACTGGCAGCCTCGAGTCCTCCGGCAAACGTTTTCAATAAAGCAAATGCTTTCTCCAATTTAATTAGCCCCGCGCACCTGTTAAACGGTAATAGTTTTTTCAAAGGCCAGAACATGCCATCTTCCCCTAACTATCCAGAATCGAGCATGGTGCCTCAAAGAACGCCAAATTTCAAAGGAATGGAGTATCAAGGAAAACAGCTGGAGCATAAAACACCACAAATATCACCCAACAAAATGAACTTTTTGCCATTCAGACCAGAGATACCGTATCTTCAAGCGGGATCATCCTACCCATTTGGCGTACAAAATTTCCAGCAGCCAAATGCCGACTTTATGAAGTTTCCCGTCTCACCGAGGGAGTCTGTCAGTCCACTGATAGCGAATCCTGCTGCAGCTATACTTAGCACTCTGTTGCCGCCGACATTAGCTGCGTTTTCTTTACCGGCGCAGAACGTTTGCGCTAAATGCAGCATCAGTTTCCGGATGACCTCCGACTTGGTATACCACATGAGAACTCATCATAAAAGTGAAACGACCAGTGACCCTCATAGAAGGAAACGAGAAGAGAAGCTTAAATGTCCCGTTTGCAATGAGAGCTTCAGAGAGAGGCATCATCTGACTCGACACATGACCGCGCACCAGGATAAGGAGGGCGACATGGATGATGTATCACCAGCTAACTATAAGAAGAGCAAACAATTTTACCCTCACAACGGCTCTGTTCTTAAATGAATTGCTTTGTAGATGTTTGACGTTTACTTGGAAAAAGATACGTTTTTATCAGAAATTATCAGTTTTAGTAAAAATCTTCGAACCATGTCACATAAAACATGTTAAACATTATAATGGGTTCACCTCGTTGTTGTTATTTAATTGTATTCTAATTGTGCAATATTAGTTGTAAGTATTTATTTTGTAAATATTTGTTTAATAGACCATTAAATAAGTTATGTAAATTTAATAAATGTGTTTTTCATCCCTCATCCCATTAGTGATGTAACAAAATTAATAATAAAATCATTTTAATAATAGGATTTTTTCTTCTTGTTTCGCAGTCTGTACTACGTGTGCTACATACATTAATCTGTCAACCAATAGCATCTTTAGTTTTAATTGGTCTCATTTTAAATAAAATTCGTATCTTTGATTTTATCTCTTTATTGGACGAGACATCCATTATTGTTATATCCCAGCACTAACAAGGCGTAGCAGAACTAATTCAAATAGGGAGAGTCGATAAAGCTATCAAACTATTCTCTCCTGCATCAGTCCCAAAGCGTGTAAATGTACCACAATTTAATTCTCAGTGAGGAAGTTACTTGTCAATTAATTTAGAGATCGTTTTTAAATAACTATTTTAAAGTATTATTATTTTTTGTACTGTATTTGGTATAAAAGTTCTGTGGTATCCAAATGCCTATACTTTTTATTTTGCTACAACGTTAAAGACAATACACAAAAACAGAAAACAATATTTGTACTTAAAATAATCTGATATTAACTCTTAATACTGAACTATTAACGAACCCTAATGATTATTTCTTCGGTCATAAGTTCGTTGACCGTCTACAATAAATTCGATCAATCGTTATAATTATTTTTGAAATTATCTCGTTTAGAGATTCATGCTAAAGTTACATACTAAATAGGAGGGTTCACGACAAACTAGCGTGTCGGTACACGCGTGTCGGAGCAGGCGTGTCGGAACGAGGCGTGTCGAAATCCTTGCGAACGACTTTGTTCCCACATCTCGTCTGTAGACGAGATATGGTACTACGAGCCATTGCACCGCTCGCCGTTGTGAATTGCGGTGGGAAATCCCACTGTTTTTGATTAAACTTTGAGAACTGTGAACATTAAGGAATATATAGAGATCGAGTTTGGTAGACAATTCTGTCACTCCGGTATTTTTAGTGAGCGTACTGAGGTTGCTGACATATAACTCGAGAAGAGAACCCAACTAACGGTATATCCGGCCAACATCAAAAATGGTTTTTCATATATTTTAACGTGACAGTAGTATCAGAATTATCCTTTCTAATTTGATGTCATCAGTCTTGATCGTTTCTTCTAATTCACTATTTTAAAAGTGTTTCTAAATTATGAGTTAACCCTTTTATATTGAGAATTTAATTGCCAAAACTGATCCACGGTGTAGGATCTCATAACGTAACGTTCATGCTCTATTTGCAAACTGTAGTTTTACTATATAGGAACATGAAAACTTACAAAGCGTAGGCGACAAGTACGCGGAGGACAATATTTTTGCCGGACCGCCGAAGCGCGAGTAATTCAATATAAAATATTCATATTGGGGACAGAGCTACCCTTGTGTTTTGTTGACTACAGGATGTCCTAATTCAAGATGTTATTCCAATTAATTTTCAAATAAACTTGTCTAAAATATCAGAGCTACATTTTTCTTTAAAAAGTTATTAAGTAATTCATATTTATTTAGGTATTCTCAGAGTTGAAACAAATGTAATTTTTAATTTAAACCCAGATGTCGTTACAATATGAAGGACCTACTTAAGACATCAACGCATCAAGTAAAAAATTATAGAAATAACTGGTCTTTCTTACTTAGTATAAAAACAAGAAGAGATTACAATTAAATTAGAATAGGATTTAATTTGGAATTAAAGAGTTTAGGGATCTTAAATCTTTGAACAACACCAATGTTAAAACACGCTGTATATAGGTGGCAGTATGTTTCCAGACGCAAACTCCTTATGACGGATGTGACCCGTAATACTGAGCGAGAAACATTTAAACCTTATTCGCTCCCTGTTTATAGCGGCGTGAAGATATACCGCTGCAAGATAACAGTATTTTTTAAAAGTTGTGTATATAAGCAAAATGCAATACTAATACTAATGTGTTTGATTATCTGTTAAACGAGCTTGTCTTCTGTTTTACTACGTTTCTTTAAAGCTTCGATAAAGTGGGAGTAGAAGATAAACATTTTTTTAAATAAAACAAATGAGTCGCGCTTTATGTAAATTAGCATTTTAACAACTTTTCCTCGGTCTGAATGGTCATGAGGTCGTGTTGTGATACCAATTGTTATTTTACAGCCGCGTCATTCGTGTTATTCTATTACGATAGGAACCTATCATAGCTGTCGTGTACAATCAATAAAAACTTCAATATTTTCCGCTCAAATAGCTGCACAGCACAACCGTAAACAATAAATATGTATTTCTAAACGCATTAACAAGATTACAATATTAGCGAACGCGTCCTCCTTCCGACGCCGCGTCATTACGAATGATAAATAGCCGGCACACTTCGATAATCAAATTCAAATTTGGAATCTGTTCTACCCTAGTATCTATTTTTTTTTTCTCCGACACAAGGGTGCTCCGTCATACAGCCAGCCTGTTTTGTATTGTGAGAAGATTGTGACTTTATTAAGCGTGAACGAAAGGTCTCTTTAGAGGATTCGTCGCGGTACACACGTGACCCGGAACCGATTACGGTTCCGTAGCGATTTGTATGTATTTGTATGTAAATGGGGGAACTGGGGTGAGGAGATAACCAGGCGTGCTTGATAGGGATCGCTGTGATTGAATTAAGTGTGCTGCCGCTTAGCGAGCGTTTAGTGCTGCATCATCTGTGATTGTAGACTGTCCTACCGCAATATTTCCTTAAAGCATTTTTTAAAGCTTTATATGATACTTCCAAAATAGTTAATTTAGCCTGACAAAATCTAACCGATTACAGAACAAAAACTCTATACTTCTGAAAAACATAACCACACGGTTTGTTGTTGATATAATCTGTGTAATTATTATGTTAATGAATAAAATGCGGAGGAACAAGCAGAAGGTATAAATCAGCGGTTGTACCCCGGCCAGTGCCGAGTGGCGAGCACGACATAAGGCCGAGACAAAGGAACGGACAAGCATACGGAAAGCATTGGTCTCGGTCCGTGTGTCGCAATACCGCATTGCCGCTCGAGACGTTGCGTTACAGACAAAATGGAATTTGCATTATTTTAAAATTAGAATAGTTTTTTTTTTTTTATAAAGAATGCGCTTATTATCTGCGATTGAACCAACTTGAGCGGTAAAAAGGTCAGTAGTGAGTGCATTAGGAAAATATATACAGTAAATTGATACAGATTTTTTATGATGACGATTGAAGGTTGACTTTAAATCATTATCATCAAACTAATGGGACCGTCGTAGTTGAGCTCGTACTTCTATTTGTATATTATATGGTTATACCGCTACCCACATAGGCAAGATACCAATTTTATATATCCATATACAACTTGTGATACAGTTCTGCGCTCAGTAAAGTTAGCAAGCAAGACAAAATAATAATTTATTCAGTGAATATTGTAATGGAGACCGTTATTATTTTCGACTTACAAGTTTATTCATCTTGTACCCAAAAGTATATTTGTACATAAAGTATATAAATACACCAATAGGCTTTCAATCCATAGGTACTGGACATCTAAGTTTAATATGGACTATAACTCTTCTTTATGATCTTTGGAAAAATGTTTAAAGAGAGCAAAAAAAAAGAAAACTGTTTACTTAAGTTCTAATTGCTTGTAAATAAATAAAATAGGTATCCTAGCTTTAAAGTTATATCTATACTATTATAATAAAGCGTAAACACACACTTCTTTGTTGCCTAAGGTGTCAGCAATTACAGCATATTTTTAAACAATTCTTGTTTTTAATAAAAAGCCCTACACTTACTTCACGCTTTACGCTATATAGTTTCACGCTATTAAACTTAGTTGATAAATAAATTGGATAAAAACCCTAATGTGGGAAAGATACCATAAGTTGCTGCCAACATCAAGAAATCAAGATTGCCATGGATTGTCATCATGTCATGTCATTTTGACATTTGCAATTGATAAATTGACAAATGTAAACGATAAAATGAAGTTTTTATAAATACCTGCGGATGAAGCCGCATGGGAGCAGCTAGTACATTTAATAAATTAGAACCAAGTGGAACATACCAATTGTACGCGGCGGCATATATCCATATTAATTTAAACCATATTTCACTGAATTTAATTCATATGCTAAATAGTCTCGAAGCTCTCAACTGTCTCAGCTTTGAATTCTGAGAAGATTTCATTGTTTGCATGAGAAACATTTTTCGCCATTTCAAATATAAATTGGCATTTCATTTATTCATTTAAACACTAAGATCATAATATTAGGAAAGAAATATATGGATAGGGCCTGTTATATACCATAGATATTTGCATATATTTGTCCTTATCACATACATAATCTGTAAAAAACCGCAAACTATCGAAATGATATAACGTGCGGTTTTCTGCCTCGCACAGCCGCATTGTTGAACGATTTGTCCTCGGCCGTATTTCCAAACCAATACGACTGAGGATTCTTCAAGAAGCGAGCCTACTATTTCCTCAAAGGCCGGCAACGCATCTGTAGTTCCTCTGGTCGTTGACCATCTCTGTGTTCCCGCCGCTCGTGTGCCTTTTTAAATTAAAAAGAAATTACTTAGCTATGCTTTTTGCATTTATCTAAACGAACGTCGTCTCGAAAACATTAAATGTAAATAAGATAAAATAAATCATTCTCAATTGTAATTGTGCACGCTCCCAGCGCCGGCCATCTGCTAATTCAGTGAAAGCTGAGCGCGTCTCTGATATTAAATTTACCTTAAATTAAAATATGTAACGTTCAAGCCAGCACTGTGAATTATTACCTGGAATTTAATTTGGC